CCCCAACGCCCTGACCCTGTCGAAGGCGCCATTCAGTACCTCAGCCTTTTCCTTATCCTTGGTAACAATGTCCCCCCCTCGTATCCAATAAAGGATGGGGATTCTCCCTGGTCCTTTTTATATTGTTAATATATTTGTAAAAGCACTTATTATCCCTTGCAGAGGTGGCCAGGCTGAGTTCCAGCTGAGTTTTTGCCCCCCTAATGTTCTTTCTACATGACCTAAATCCCTATACTCTTCCTGAGTAGCCTGCCCCTTCTTCCAAAGGTTATAGACTCTCCTCTTCCTCCTAAGCTCCAGCAAAAGCTCCCTGTTCAGCCACACTGGTTGTTTTCCCTGCCAGTTTGTCTTACAACACATGGGGACAGCCTACTCCTGTGATCCTAAGAGTATTTTCTTGAAAAAGGTCCAGCCTTCCTGGACCCCTTTGCTCTCTAGGACTGTGTCCCAAGGGACTTCCTCAACCAGTGTTGGAAACAGGTTAAAGTCCACCCTTTGGAAGTTCATGGTAATAGTTTTGCTGCCTCTCCTCCTTACTTGGCCAAGTATTGAGAAATCTATCTTTTCATGGTTCCTGAGCCCAAGACAGCCTCCAACCACATCACCCACCAGTCCTTCTCTGTTTGCAAACAAGCCCAGCAAGGAACCTGCCCTGGTGGGCTCCTTCACCATCTGAGTTAGGAAGTTATCTTCCACACACTACAGGAACCTCCTGGACTGTTTCCTCTCTGCTGGGCTATATTTCCAGCAGATGTGTGGTAAGTTGAGGTCCCCCACAAGAACAAGGGCTTGCAATTTTGCAGCATCTGCCAGTTGGCTATAGAACAACTCATCAACCTCTTCATCCTGGTTGGGTGGTCTATAATAGACTCCCAAGAGGATATCTGCCTTGTTGGCCTGCCTTAACTTTATGCATAAACATTCAATCAGTCCATCACACTTGTTGACCTCCATGCAATTAAAACACTCTCTAATATAGAGATTATATGATTTATATGATTAAGATTGATTACTGCTTTTCTAATTATCTAACTCTGTAAATAGTTAAACATTGTCTAGATGTTCATGCTACTATGTGAACATCCGGACAATATTTTATTGTGTGCTGACTGGATGATGTACACTTCTTGGTCACATCTGGCCAATGTCCCTGGCAAGATTGACAATGGGAGCATAACAGTTTACGTCTTCACACTGAATTGCGCTGAAAAGATATATGGAAACATTTGTTACTTAGTATAAAAAGTGGAAGACATTTGGACTGACTCCTGAAGCCTCATCTACAGGTGAATGCACCACATAGGACCTTCCCAATTACAGAGGATCTTCAGGGGCAAGCTGCCGCAGGGCTTCAGAGCTGGAGTGTGAACCCAGATGATGGTGTAAGTGGTGATGTATCCTTCTCTTAATCACTGCATTGCTTTACTGTAATAAACTGGTGCATCACTATTCTACTTTGCTTTTTAATTATTACTATAATGTGTGTATATAAAAATTAATATGCTTTTACATATGTATTAAACTGGAGTGTGTTTATATTTGGAAACCCTCCATTCAGCAAAAGAGCATCTAATCCTTTAGACAAACTGTTGACCAAGTCTGAGACTGAGTCTGGACCCAGCTGCACCTGAATGCCTCTCTGAGGAGTTGAGAACACAAGGGGGTCCTTTCTGACCTCCATGAGTCAATGGGAAGGTCTCCCTGACAGTTTTGTCTGACCCTGTCCTCTATGCAGTAAATAATCAAGTGTCCCTTGCCATTGAATCTCATTAAACCACTGTCGCATTTACTATCAGACTGTTAAATTGCTGGTTTACGTCAATAAACATATTGTTACTTGTCTCTTACAAGTGAGGCACATGACTCCATCTGCAACAGTCTACAATAAAATCAAAGGGCATAAAATGCAGTTTTAGAATTGCACTGAATAGTTGGAAAAGAAATATATGTGTCCAGTATTTTAAAAGAAAACAATATCAACATATTACAAATAGCTTGAATTCCCTCTTAAATTGTGTTGCTCTCATAGTTCAAGATTAAAATATCACATGAAATACTAGGTCATTTGCTGTTTATTCTGTAGCAGGATGATTATAGCCTAAAAAAAAAAAATTCATCTTAACTGCAGTGTGCTTTCTGATGCCCTGTTCATGAATGGTTCCTCATACAGGGGCATGAGTTAATAAATTTTTCTGGCAATTTCTTTCTCTTCTTTCATCCCTTTCATTATTATGCAGGCCCATTTTATCTCCTGTGACAACAGTAGATACTTCTTATATAATCTTATAGTAATCAATACACACACCTGCTTTCCCAATGACCAGGCCCAACAAAAA